AAAAATAAAAAAAAAAGGTCCCACACTCCCACCCCCTTAGCATGTATGGATTCTAAACAAAAAGCATCTGGCATCGCTAGAAATGACCCAAAATCCAATTACTTAAAAACATGTCAAAACTGGGTCTTGTTCATGATGACATTATTTGTCTTTGGTCAAATACATCACTTCCAAATGTCCAACCTACCCCACCACGACCAGAGAGAGACTTTTCAGCTTATTTTCCCACACATAATTGCTGTTTTTCCACCTTTCAAACATGACTGCTTCCAGGCCCTCCAGCGGTCTCACCAGGAAGCATACTGGGAGCAGAGTCCTCAGAAACCCAGATTCTCACAGCAGGAAACCATGGGCAGTCAGGGGACCCCCCTCTAGTCCACCCTAAGGCTCCTTCTAATAATCAAACATTAAAATATACAAGCAGGCCTGACTCGGTGGCTCAGTCTGGAATCCCAACACTTTGAGAAGCTGAGGAAAGTGGACTGCCTGAGTCTGTGGGTTCAAGACCAGCCAGGGCAACTTGGCGAGACCTCATCTCTATAACAAGTAAGAAATTAGCCAGGTATGGTAGCGAGTGCCTGTAGTTCTGGCTACTTGGAAGGCTGAGGCAGAAGGATTGCCGGAGTCCAGCAGGTCGACCCTGGGGTGGCTGTGAGCGTGCCACTGCACTCCAGCCTGGGCGATGGAGTGAGACTCCGACTCAAAAAAAATGCAAACACTGTGTGTCACAAAGCCCCAAACAAGCAACGCCAGCTATCTAACTTCTTTAAAATGGAAGAACAGCTTTTTTAAAAAGACATGTTCTATTGGTTGTTACAGAAATACATCAGTATAGCCGACAAGTCCAGCTCTAGAAACTTCTCAAGTCGGAGAAAATCAAAAACAGACTCAATAATGTTAGTAGCAGAAAACACTGGCATGTGTGGTAAGTTCTTTTTTATGGTCATATTTTCTTTGATTTTTGTTTTGTTTTTGAGTTGAGGTCTTATTCTATCACCCAGACTACAGTGCAGTGCTCCATCATGGCTCACCGCAGCCTCGGTCTCCTGGGCTTAAGCGATCCTCCCACCTCAGCCTCCCAAGTAGCTGGGGCTACAAGTGTGCGCCACCACACCCAGTTAACTTTTTATTTTCTGGAGATAAGAGGTCTTGTTTTGTTGCTGATCTCAAACTCCTGGGCTCATGCAATCCTCCAGCCTTGGCCTCCGAAAGGGTCGGGATTATAGGTATGAGCCACTGTGATCCGTCTTATTTTTTAAATTTCTATAACAGATACAGATAAGCTATACAATCATCTTTTCCAAAGGCTTTGAAAAAGATCCAGGTTAAGACCACACCAAGCTGACCCACTGGATGAAGAAACAACGGATCTGAGTCTCCACCCCATTTTCCCAGGGAACCTTTGGGAACACCAGTGGCATCTTGGAAATGAGAAGTATTACCTCCTCTGGGAAGCCCTCCCCTGCTCCCTGAGGTGAGCTAATTGCTCACTTTTCCACACTCCCCAGCTCTTTGTCCTATAACTATTACCACAGCACACATATGATTTCTACACTGAAACGTTTTATTTACAAGTCTCATTTTCCCCACTCAATGGCAAGCTCTTGGACAAGGAGAGTCAGGTATTGATTGTGCAGTCCCATGACAATGCTTGAAATCAAAGGAACCCAAGCTTGTTGGACAAATGTGAAGTGTCCTTGCAGCAAATTCACTCAAATATTTAACGAAGCACCTGTGACAAACAGGTATCTGCCTAGACCCTTGGAGGTGTCCATCACGCGGGTCGGAGAAGCTTAATTCTTGCATGCCTGGGAGCACCCAGCACCCAACGTTTCCACGTCTCCAGATAATGAAAAGAACAGGCATGAATCCGCCAGCGGAGTCCCGGAAAGGTGAGGCTGTAAGAAAACCGCTGTCCTGGAAGGCCAAGGAAAGACATGCACCTCCCCCCCCGCAAAACGGGGTCTCAGTCCCTGGCAATGATGACACGAGGTCCTCCTGTTCTTCTTTTCACGCCTTTCACACTTTATAGATACCCTTTGTACGATGCTGTATTTACTGAAAACATCACATTTTTAAAAAAGCGATCCCTTTGTTCATTGATTTAACACACATACTCTAAACGTCTACCATATTCTAGGCGCTGTGTTTTGGGGATTCAGACATGAATGAGATATGAACAAATCTCTGGCTCAAGGTGTTTGCAGTCAAATGGGAGACACGTCAATAAACAGACACAACACAACGAGGTGCCTATTTTAAAAGGTTCCTCATTTTACAGACTCCCCCAAACCTTCCTGTCCAATCGCCCCCTCTGCTTCCCACGCAACGAGAGGACGAAGAAGACCCAGCGAGGAGGAAGCAGCACCCAGGGCAGAGCTCAGGGATTCGTCAGCTGCCATGACAGTGCTCAAACACCACACCAAGTCCCCCCAGGAGCAGAGACCCCTCTCTCCATTTTCATTCTTCTTTGCTTGTGCTTTATTGTCTGGAAGACTAGTTGCAACTTCTAATATGTGGAAGCCCACAAAGTTAAAAAAAAGAAGAAAAAGAAAAGTATGAGCCAGCTAAGCTCTGCCAGCTGAAGCTGTGTCTTGTGAGCCGCCGCCCGGGGGAGGAACCTGCACACGAATTCGGTCCGCGTTGGGTGCCAGCCGCCATCTGCTTACCACGTGTGTTGGTGGCCATGTCAGCCACTTTCTGAAAGGCGTCCAAGAAGGCAGCTGCTGCTACTACTGTTGTCCTAAAATGCAAACAGATAACAAAAGCATGAGAAATGTCTCGCACCAGCGAACGCTTCGCAGCTTAAGGGCTAAAGGCTTTGCCCAGGAGTGAATGCAACCTTCCGGAGAACGGCTCAGCTGGGTGTGGACAACCACTGGCTTGGGGAACGCACCTCTTCCCAAGCATACTACCCCAGTAATGCCTGACTCATTCAGGGATAATCAGTAACGCTAGCCGTCCTTCCCACTCCCTTGCACCTGGCTGTAGGAAGTGACTGCCAGGCATGATTTTGCAAAGGAAGAAAAGACAGGTGTTTCTACCTAAAAGAAGAAACATCAGTAAACATTATAAATGGTACAGGGGGAGTGACTTTTCGAGTAGGAAAACTGTACACACACACACACACACGAATGGACAGAAAAAATCTTGGAGAGTGATCGTGTAGTTCAAACAATTCATTTTAGGGATGGAAAAACTGAGGCCACAGATGCCAAGTGACTTTCAAGATCCCTTTTTTAATCCAGAGCTGGGACTAGTGTGTCCCAGCACCATGACTGACAGGCTCGGGCTCTACCAACAAGGTCCCAGCAGTGCGATTTTTCGCCCGAAATCCTAATTACAATGAAATGGAGATGCTACTGTTTCAACCTCAGGATGCGACTTCAGCTGCATCTCTCCAATTCTTACGAGCTGAGAAGGGAGAGGAAGTTGCTACACTCACTTTATTTCGAATCTTAACACCCTCCTGAGCACTGCAGGATGCCTGAGTGCTCTGGGACCTCCTGGTTCCTAGAACCAGGGCCTCGGATGTCCTTCACTGAAGAGCGGTCAACGCTCCAAACCAGAGCCCTGGATTCCACATAAACAAGCTCCAGAATTAGAAACCGAGGATTTTCCAACTGAATTTACAGCTGACTGCTAATTTTCCAGGATTTCTCATACAAATCCGGTCTTCACTGCACATTCCTGAGAATATAAAGTTGCCCAAGGAAGAATAAAGACCAGAAAGGGAGGAGTTCAAAAATGGAGAGAAAGGAAAGAAATGACCTTTAAACATAAGCAACTGTGGCTATGGAACAAAGGGTTCCGGAAGGTGCTCAAGTCATCCCTAGGAGGACCTGGGCGGCAGCCCCTTTAAACCAAACTTCAAAATGATGCCCGCTGCTTTCCAGCAGGTCAAGAAAACATTCTGCTCAAATTAATAATAATAATAATCACACACACACACACACACACACACACACACACACACACACACAAGCCACTTGGAAGTATGCTTTTAAAAGAGTTGACATCAAATACAAAGCCTGGAAAAATCAGCCTTACCCAACACCCTAGGATTTATAAATAGCTCAGTCTGACTTACAATTAATATCTGACACAATGTGGAGATCTGTTCTCCGCCCACCCAATGCCAGCCATCCACATTCAATGACCAGTCATAGAGGTGCCCTGCGTATTCACACAGTCCCCAGGGCACCCCTGAAAATCGGGACAGTGGTCAGTTCTGAGGAATTGAGGACTTTTAAACGACAGGCCTATGTCACTGCCTGATGTCATCACAAGACGTCCTGGCCCTCTCTGACAGGGTCGGGCCCGGCAACCACCGGCAGCACAAAGGAATGTTCGACTTGAACACACCGAGACTGCCATGCCCCTCCCACAACTCAAACTTCACTCTTTCTCCAGCACAGAATATGTAACCACATACACCAGGCTTCTCAGAACTCTGACCTAAAGTCTGACGAAATCAAGAAACGGTCCCTGCCCTCAGGCCTGACTGTTGTCTAATAACAGACACGTCCCTTGGACCAGTAAGGATAAGAAATGACATTGCTTGACTTTGTGTGTAGGACAACTCATCAGTTCGTTGCTTGAAGCTTTGGTGTCCTCCGTGGCAAAGGGGACAGAATTGCTTTTTGGTCTACCCTGAAAGCCTGCCAGACCATGAAGTGAGGCTGAATGAGAAAAGGCGGGAGGGGGGCTAAGTGTTTCCCTGGGCTCCTTGAGGGATCTCCAACAGAGATGAGGCTCTCTACAGTCAACAGCAATCATGGCAGGGATGGGGGTAGACACAGCTCAACAAGGTGAGGCGGGTGGGGGCCCCGGACAAGGAGCCTGAATTCTGAGCAGAAGTGGCTGGATCTGACCCAGCAGAAAGTGATCCCACGCTCTTAAACCAGGGAGACGACAGAGGGCTTGGGACTGCGGAGGGCACACATTCTGGACTCCACTGTCCATCTGAAGGCCAAGTTCATGGATGGAAACCCCGGGCCCCATGAGGCCGAAGGACTGTAAGGAAATAGATTCACCTCGCCTGAGTCTCTCTTCATCTACAGGGAGCCAGAGAGCCCCCAGTACTATGGCTGCAGCTCTAGGCAATGACCCCTGGTACCCACGAGCAAAGGTCCAGGAACTCCACATCTTCCCTTCCTGTTCCCGTATGGCTCTTTATCCTAAAAACACCCACCTGCTCTGCCCCCTGAGCCATCCTCACCATCCAAACTGGCCAATATCATCCCCAAACACGTGAATCAGGACCGTCACAATAGTCACTTTCACAAACGTCCCATTCTTCAGAGAGCACCCACTTCGTGCATCTGTGTCCCTTCCCCACACCGATTTAAAAGGGCAGAGCTGGAACAAGAAGGTGCTGACATCTCTTCTATTTCACATGGAGTGCCATCTAACGGGACTGGCAACCACAGCCCCGTGGACCAGCACCAGATCTTGCTTCTAAAGTGAAGCAGTTTAGCCAGGCTCGGGGGCTCAGCCTGTAATCCCGTGCTTTGGGAGGCTGAGGTGAGTGGATTGCCTGAGCCCATGGGTTCGAGACCCACCTGGGCAGGCAAGACCTCATCTCTACAATAAATCAAAAAATTAGCCAGGCGTGGTAGGGTGCGCCTGTAATTCCGGCTACTCGGAAGGCTGAGGCAGAAGGATCGCCGGAGTCCAGCGGGTCGGGCTGCAGTGGCCGGGAATGGCCATGGCACTCCAGTCTGGGCGACAGAGTGAGACTCCAACTCAAAAAGAATAAAAATAAAAATGAAAAATAAAAAAATTAAAAGGAGCAGTTTTACTGAGGCATAATTTGCATACCATAAAATTCACCCTCTTGCAAAGCACGAGACAATGGTTTTTAGTAAATTCGGAGTTTGTGGCCACTGCCGACGTCCAGTCCTGAACTCTTCCACCACCCAGAAAGAGGCCTCTTACACAACTGCTGTCAATCTCCTCCCCCACCCCGGCCCGGGCAGCCGCTCATCTGCATCTGTCTCCATAGCTACGCTCTTCCAGATGCTTCTTGTAAGTGAAATCACGGGGGGGGGGGGGGGGGGGAATTCCCCAAAGCCCAGAATTACTTTTTGCAGGACACTCAGAAGGTGTTCCTCTGGCTCAAACGGCCAACCAAGGTTTTTATCTGGAGGTTCTGGGAAGGCTGTGTCACCATTTGCGGAAGAGATGTCCCAAGCTGGAGCACACGGTGACAGGTTCGTCGACCCTGATGACACACCAGCCCACAGGAGCTGAGTGTTCAGCCGAAGTTTCTGGCCCCAGACAGCACGACCCCCGTGCCCCGCCCTCCCTATTCACCCGGTCTCGTCCTGAGCGACTTTTGTCTTGCTTCCCTGGTTGAAAACAGTCCTCAAAGAGAAACATTTTGCCAGTGCGGAAGAGGCGAAACCAAAAATGACAGAAACACTAAAAGGCATCAGAATGGGCGAGTTCAAAAACTGTTCTGAGCAGTGGAAAAAGCGTCTCGACACATGTCTTACATCAAACGGAGAGTACTTGGAAGGTGACCGAGGCTAACGCGTGCAAGAATAAATACACGATTTTTAATAAATAAACTCCGTTTTTTCTGTGTGTCCCTCATCTAAAAGTCAACACTAGGCTTCAGACTATTGGAGAAACAGTGACCAGGATGGCGGACACGGACTCTGGAGCCAACGGCCCAAGTTCAAGTCCTGGCTCTGTCACTTATTAGCAGTAAAGCGATGAATAAGTTATGTAACTTAGCTGTGCCTGTTTCCTCACCAGGAAAATGGGAGTACTGACTGTACTTACCTCGTGGGGTGGTGAGATTTAAACAAGTTAGCCAATGCCCGGTACACAGTGAGTGCTACGTAAATGCTGCCTGGTGTTACCCTACACACAGCCCCTCATTTAGTTCTCAACATTCCTGTGCAGGGAGGAGAACAGGTGTGAGACTAGTTTTACATATGGAGTCGGGACCAGGACATCTGGCTAGCGAGTGGCAACGCTCCGGTCAGAACCACTCGCTTCTGGATCTGTGAAACGGCCCGAAGTAACCCCATCTGCATCCCGGTCTGTCCGCTTGGCCGCAGTGGGGCCCTTCCTGGGGACACACGTTTCTACTCACCGGAGCTGGGACTGCAGCTTTCCTGCTTTGTTTATGAAGTCTTCCCAGACCGGATAGCTCCCCTGCAACGAAGCAAAGCCATCAGTCAGACATGCTGGGACAGACGTCCGACGCCATTTACGGAGCCCCGACCCCAGTGACGCGGGGGTCAATCTGTGTGTGGGGAGACCCCCTTTGCGGTGTCTGTGATGTGCTGCCCACACACTACACACGTGCTGGCTCAGGAACGGGTTTAGAAGGCACTCAGTCTTGTAAGGCTGTCGCTACCGCAGACCCCAACTGAGTTAGTTTGGCAGAATCCGACACACACACACTTTGAGACAGTAGGTGTTGTGTCCAGTCAGGAGGTCCCAACACTTACAACTCTGTCCTGAGCCACCTGTCCCTGCAGCACCGTCCCGGCTGTCCTCACCTTTGTCCCCGGCAGCAGGAAGGAGAGAACCAACCTGACTGGATCTCCTCCCCAGGACAAGTGGCCACAGCCTGACAAGACCATCAGCGTTTCAAGGTTGGAAAGCTACCTAATACAGTCGCTCAGCTGATGGCCTAAACCCGACGGCAATGGACGACAAGGCGACAAGAGGTTCCCTAGCACACTTCAGCTAACGGGGAGTCACCACCCTCCCAGGACAGCCCGAGGCAGCCTCCCCACCCTTGACGATCAGACGATCACACGATCACACGGTTCTAGTGCTAACCTTCTGGGTGCCCACAGAGTAAAACCCTGTCTGACAATTCTGCTTCCCATGAAAGTCTTTTCAAAATCCAACCCCACGTCCAATCCCATTTCTCCGCAGGACCCTGCCACGCCCCCAGCATCCCACCCCCACATCCCCTCACTTCCCCTTACTCCTCGTCTAAGTACGAGGCTCAGACACGAACGCAGACCTGCAGATACAAATCTGCCCAGCGTGAAGCCGGCCACTGAATTTATATCATATTTGCATTATATTAAGATCAAACTGTCTACCAACCAAGAAGTGGCTCAGAATCAACCCAGAAAAGGGGAAACCACGGACAGAGAAGCGGATTTGGGCACTGATCATTTAAACACAGAACTAAGAGGACACACCTGGGGGTTAGGGCTACAGAACAGGCGAAAGCATCATGAGCCTTGATGAGGTCAGATGACACACGCAGCCCCCGCTTTTGTTGTGAAGGGGAGGAGGAAGAAGCTATAATGAGTCAACCTCCTTGTCTTGCACGACGGAAGCCCAGTCAACACTGTCTAAAGCTGCAATGGAGCTCAACGCCGAGACTCCATCTTCCCGGGGCTTTCATCATCTTTCTTGGCTTAGAGCAGCTTCTCAGCCCCGGCACGGCACTGTCAACGTTCAGAGGAAATGATTCTGTCGCAGGGGCTGTCCTGCTCATTGTGGCATGTTCACCCGCCCCGTCGCCCGCTCCGAGATGCCAGCTACTCCTACCCGCTGGTTGTGACAACCCAAAACATCCCCAGACATTGCCAAGCATCCCCCTGGGGGCAAAATCACCCCTGGCCCAGAGCCACGGCCTCAGTGGCACATAGGAGGAGCCAGCTTCTTCTGGTAACAAAACAGTTTTCTGAGGCGTGGCAATTTTCAAGTAGAGTGGCAAGTGTCACTCTACTTCAGTGTCACTTTCATCTGTTAAATGAAAGTGAAATTATTATTATTATTTTTTCATTTAAAAAATATTGGCCGGGCTCGGTAGCTCAGCCTGTAATCCCAGGGCTTTGGGAGGCCTAGGTGAATGGACTGCCTGAGCCCGCGGGTTCGAGATCCGCCCGGGCAACTTGGCGAGACCTCATCTCTACAATAAGTCAAAAAAATCAGCCGGGCATGGTAGCGCATGCCTGTAATTCTGGATACTTGGAAGGCTGAGGTGGAAGGATCGCCGGAGCCCAGCAGGTTGAGGCTGTGGTGGCCAGGAGCATGCCACCGCACTCCAGTCTGGATGACAGAGTGAGACTCCAACTCAAAAAAAAATCACGCATAACAAGGAACACCTCGTTATCAAACCGCCTGTGTATACTTCTCTGGCCATCAATTCTGTCTGAAAATATGCACAGAGATATCTGCAAAGCCATCCACCAAATATTAAAATGGGGCATTGCTGTGAACCAAGACCTGAGCCTGTGTGTCGCTTTTTTTTGTTGTTCTTTCCTCTATGGTTGGAGTTTTTAAATAAGGGTCATGTATCATTTTAATGAAAGCAATAAAATCATTACATAAAAAATTTTAATATCAACCGAGCAGTCCTGGCAACAACAGCCCACGAATTTACAGTCCGCCCAGACGTCAGGCCTGACTCCCATGAGCTGCTCTGTCCTACACTTCAGTCCTGCAACTGTGCCCTAAAAGTGACCTAGTTTGCGTACGGGGGTCTCATTTCTCCCTCCAAGTGGCGATTTGCTCTCCTGGAACCCTGAGTTGCTCCAGGGCAGGAGTCCCACCCAGCTAGCTCCTGGCAGAGGCCCTGTCTGGTCAAAATATGGCCTCCATGCCACCTCTGTGCCCCAGGGGTGTCTTCCACCCAAGAGCAGAACCGTGTACGAACGCGTGTTAGACGAGACCCCGCAGGAGCTCAGGCTGCCATTCCAGGCCATCAAGACGCCGTCGGGATCCCAACTGTGACACCCAATATGCTGGCCACCTTCTTATCAAGTCCAGATGGAAACAGCCCTTCTTCATCTATATCCAGGGAGTAAAGAGACAAGGGTTGAGACCGGCATTCTCTGGCCACTGGAGATCTCCATCCAGAGGGACAGCAGTGGGTTTCTTACGAGCGCCAAGGTTCAGTGGGTGCACTGGCTCACACCTGTAATCCCAGCACTTTGGGAGGCCGAGGCAGGAGATTCACTGGAGCTCAGGAATTCAGGACCAGCCTGGGCAACAAAGCAAGGCCTTGTCTCTACCAAAAGTCAAAAAATTAGCCAGGCATGGTAGCACATGCCTGTGGTCCCAGCTACTTGGGAGTCAGAGGCGAAAAGATCACCGGAGCCCAGCAGGTCGAGGCTGCGGTAGCCGTGAACATGCCACACTGCACTCCAGCCTGGGCGATAGAGTGCGACCCTGACTCAAAAAAAAGGGCGCAAAGGTTCAACCGACCAGTAACAGCCTTGCCTGGCCCTTCTTTTCCTGAGCCACAAGGCATGATGGGAAGCTTCCTGAGAAGCCTGGGGTGTTCAGAAGTACTGCCCACTTCCGACCGGGCCAAAAGGCCATTGTCTCCCACGGACACAGGCAACAAGGACAGGAGAGGCCAGCCCTCCTCCCATATGCCAGCCTCCACACCTGGCCCTGGAGAAGGCCACCGAGACGGACTGATACCATTTCCTAAGACAAAGTGAAGCACACGCATGAGAACGTGCAGGACTGCCCAGAGGCCTGGGCAGTGAGCGCCGGGTCACAGCCCCGCCAGCCACGCACCGGGGACACCACTCGACCTCGCCGGGTCTGTTCCTTATCACGATACTGATAAAGACAACCCATCATCATGACCGAGACCACCGACGACTGAGCATCGAAGGAACAGAGGAAAGGATTCAGGAGTCGCCTGGGTCACAGGGCTGGTGTGGGGAAGAAACGAGGTCACACATCACACGGAAACCGTGCTCCGTGAATGCCCGGCACACACGAGTGCTCAACGAACAGCTGATCGTATGGGTCCACGCGCTCGGAGGCCCTCAGCAGTCTGTCACTCAAGACACGCAGGAGGATGTGAAAAGGTCTCCAAGTCAGACCGTCTGTCCAGGCTGGAGGCCCTCATTCCCGGTTCTCAGTGCGGACCCCGCCACCGTGGGGCAAGGGTGCTTCTCTGTGTCCCTATCACCAACCGTGGTGAGAGCAGCAGCTGGCAGAGGCGGCTGGGGTAGGTGTCCGAGGTCATATCTGCAGCTCTGAGCGAGGAAATGGAGTACTCAGCCCGACCGATGTGCTCAAGCCCCTACAGACCTGATTCACATCCCCCAGCTCACTGCAGCCTTTATCAAATTAGCAACACAAGGAAGGTCCCCCCGCCCGAACACCCACCCACGCTGGCAGGATGCGCAGAGTCGCTCTCCTGAATTAATGATATCTGACAGTCTATCAAAGTGTCGGGCCCACCTGTTTTAGGCAATATATAATTTAATGGATTCTAAAAAAAGAAAAAAAACCAACTTCTAAGAACAGAAGACAAAAACCTCCTTGTTGAGAGACGGAAAAAAATGCGTAAATGTTATTAAAATGTAAAGGCAGGGAATGTTGGGCGGTTCCAGATTTTCTGGGTGAGTTTCTTTCAAGGAAGTCTCTGCCCACCCGAAAGCAGTTGTACTATGAAAATTCAGAAGCTTGGAGGAAATAAGAAAGGGGGAAGGCTGCGGCTGCAGAAAGATTAAAGGAACGGAGAAACAATCCAAGACTTCATCGAGGAGACCAGACTCCGATTCCAAAAGAGCCCGAACACCAAGACAGTGGTGCACTCAGACCCTGTAGAAATCCTCTCCCACAAAGGTCTTAGCTTCCTTCCTTTCTTTTTTTGAGTGGGGGGGGTCTCACTCTGTCGCCCAGGCTGGAGTGCAGTGGCATGCTCACGGCCACCGCAGCCTCAACCTCCTGGGCTCAGGCGATCCTCATGCCTCAGTCTCCCGAGTAGCCCAGCTAATTTTTGGATTTTTGGTAAAGATACAGTCTCTCTATGTTGATCAGGCAGGTCTCGAACTCCCGGGCTCAAGAGCTCCTCCGGCTTCAGCCTCCCAAAGTGCTGGGACGACCACGCCCGGCCAAGGCCTTCATGGGCTGCACCCACCTACCGAGATGCCCCAGAAAGCCCTCTCCTTAGCTTGCCGGCTGAGTCCTGTTCACATGGGGGGGGAGCCCTCGGGACGCACCCTAGGTGTGTCGCAACCTTCCAGACAGACCAACCAACATCAAAGAAAACAGGACTCCTACCCAGCACTCAGGGTCTGCCGAGCTCGAAGTCACAGGCAAAGGGGGAAGGGTCCCCTCCCTCAGGGGACTCGGATCTCCCCAGAGAGGAGGGCAGGGAGTCTCTGGACCCCTGGCACTGTGCTGAAGTAGAACTCAGAACACACCCACTT